ACGGCGGTGTGGAGAACGACAGACAAGCGCTGCATCTGCAGCCCGTGCCAGTTCTTGGTGGTCCATGTGACCTCATCGAGGTGCTGAGCGTGCGAAAGTTTGTTACTCAGCTGGTCCGCCGCCTGCCGAAGAATTCTGCGGACGCCGTCCCCGAAGCCGCCGAACGTCTCGAAGTCGAGCAAACGCAGGTCGCAATTCTTCTCCCGCGCGAACCGGTACTCGCCCTTCTCGTAGCGGGCCGTCACAGGTGCCCCCGCCTCCGCCTCCCCCTCACTCTCCCCCTCCTCCTCTTCCGCCGCCGCCGCCTCCGCCTCTGCATCCTCCGCCTCCCTCCCCCCCTCCCCCCCCCCTCCCGGCCGCGGCCATGCAGCATGCCCTAACACTAAGTCGAGCAGCGCCCGCTCGGTGTTGCCGAAGGCGACAAAAGCCCCCTTCCAGCCGAGCCGATCGCCACCCTTGCACGCAAGCGAGCTCGTCAGTTTCAAGTCGCCAACGAGGCGCACATGCCCTTTGCCGATGTTCGCCGCCGCCACGTCAGGTTGTTTTGGGTTACTGTAACTGAGGTGTGCAGTCGGCTCCATCTCGATGAGCATGCCCCACGCCGAGCGAAGGGTCTTGACGAGTCGTTTGAGCAGGTATTTGTGTCGTGTCGCGTGCTTCGCACGCGGGTTGACCATTGCGGCATCGCCGAGTTCTTCGTGCGGCTTGCCGTTTGGCGCCTTCTTGCCCGCCTCCACCGCCTGGCAGGCAACATCGAGCGGGAGGCCGAGGCGGCGCTGAACTGTCATGCGCATCGCCCACGTCTCCATCTTCATATCAGAGAAGTTTTGCAATCCATAACACAACCAAAGCCAAAAGAATTTCCAAGGGCGCCCGGGCCGCTGCGGGTTTGGGAGTTATGCTTAGGCACAGCTTCGGCGATGGCAGCCTCTCTCTGGGGTGTTGCATAGGCGGGGAGTCTCCCCGCTGGTCTCATCCTTACCATTTTCCTTGTTGTTGTTCTTTTGAGAGAGTTTGTTGTTCTTTTGAGAGCAGAACGCCGGGTTTGTCTTGTGCCCCGTTTGTGCCGCGTCCCGTGCCCCCGAGTTCATTTTATAAAATTTGTCTTGTATGGGCGTGTCGGGGGTGTGTGACAGTGAGGATGGCGGAGGACTAACGTTAGTCAAAAAGAATCTGAATTTTGGCCGGCTGTCGCTCGGTGAAACCGAACTTCGGGGCCGACTTGCAGCCCGTCAAGGGGCTGTGACTGACACCCATTATGTATATGTCTCTGCTGCCCATTCTCGTCGCTCTCGCCCCTTGCGCGCACGCCTTCGCCTCGCGGGCTCTGACGGCTGCAGTCGACGGCGTGTGCCGCAACGGGGACTGCGGCTGCGGCCCACCCTGGGCTGCGCCGTGGTGCAATGATCAAAACAGCGTGATCCAGGGCTGGTGCAGCGAGTCGGAGGCACACTGCGACCTGTGCGCCAACACGGACTGGTGCTCGGATGCCTCGTCGCCACCTCCACCCCCGTCCGCGCCG